GCACACAAAATAATAAAAAATAATTAAAAAAAAAGAATATTTAGAGAAAATGTTTATAATGAGATAAAATTTAAGCAGAGGTTTGAGTGATGAGGAACAAGAAACTAGAACATCTGGGGCAGGAGAAATCCAGGTTGTATGTAAAGCAGTTTGGAGATCTGCAGTGGGAACAAGTGTGTCATGTTAGGACAGCAGCCCAAGATTTGGGTGTCACCTTGCATTTAGTAATGTTTTAAGTGTGTGTGTTCTCACTGTGGTTGCAGATCGATTGCTTGTCATCTGTGCATTTTCTACTAAGCGATGCTATTCCTTCTCTACTTCCCTGCAGGTTATCATTGCCCTCTCTGAAAAGCACCGTTCACACATCCCCTACAGGAACTCCATGATGACCAGTGTCCTGAGGGACAGCTTGGGCGGAAACTGTATGACAACCATGATCGCAACCCTTTCTTTAGAGAAGAGGAATGTTGATGTACGTTGGTTCTTGCTGGTTGGAGGTCCCCTTCTAAGTTTTCATTGTTAATGTATGAAATGGGGTTAAAGGTCTTGGTTAGATTTCCACCTTTTCTGTTGGGTTAGAATGAGTATTATGGTTAGCACAGGAATCCGGAATTAAGGTTGCATAGAGAAGTGTACTCGGGGTGGGGGATGGGGGGAAGGAACGTGGGAATTGTATACTAATGAAGGAATTTTTTTTTTCTCTTTTTTTCTCTCTTCGGAGGGGGAAGGGAGCTGGTGGGGAGGGGTGGGCAGGGAGAAAATTGCGGCAATGAATGAATGGAAATCCAAAACCTCTCTAAAAAAATAAATAAATAAATAAAAGTAACCTATAGAAAAGACTTTGTTAACAAAATTGTACTAAAAAAATAAAAGTAAAATAAAAAAATAAAAAAGAATATGCCTTCAGACGTTAATACTGTCAAGGCCACAGCTGGTTATTCTCCAGCATTAAAATAACTTCAGTTGAGAATTGCATATGTGTACCACTGAGTGGCTTGATGACGTTTCATACACAGATTTTGGAAGGCCTTCTTGTGGGATGCTTACTTCAGCCAGAAAAAAATGAGAGAAGGCCCACGAATTTCTTCTTCTCACTTTTGCTCCTGATTTATAGGATCTTGGTAATTTGAGTATATTCCTGAAACATATCTCTTGATACATTAGCGAACTTAGCACCCAGGATGCATTGGCAGAGACTGGCAGAAGAATGTCTTTTCCTAGCAACTTTAGAGTGTAGTGGCGTTACATACACTTTAATGTTTGAAATCCAACATTAAAATAGGAAAATAGGGAGCACCAAGGGGCTTCTCAAAACAAAGCCAAGTCCAAAGTGCAATGTAAGATGCTTTGAAAAGCTTTTCATTTTTGCTACAATTATTAATTTTATCGTCTTTAATGTTGTGAGTTTTGATACCCACTATGAATATGACTTTATAGATACTTCTGTTTTAACAAGGAGCCCTTCTGACACACTGAGTTAAGTATTTGGCAACAAAACCAGAGGTCTGCAGTTCAAACTCAACAGCTGCTCCGTGGGAGGAGATAAGGCAGTTATTTCCCCTAAAGATTTACAACCCCTGAAACCCTGAAGCATAGTTCTACACTAAAAGCAGCTGTGAGTCAGAGCCCACCTTGAAGGCAGTGAGTCCATGGGTTTACTAGTTCAGCAGATCAGTGATTTATAAAGACATTCTCACTGCTGTTGCCCCTGAGAGCTACCACCAGTTTTGACATTGTTATGTTGTTAAGCCAAAACAAAAGGGTGATTAAAGATAATAATGTTCTAGAGGTAATCTCCTTCATTTGGAGGCATCTTTTGTCCTCATTGTATTTAATCCACACCTCCCTGTAAATGTGCATCTTGTGTACGTATGTGTGTGTATGTATGAACATTAAGTTTTATCAATAGAGTCATATATCTCTGCATCATAACATTTAAGGAGCCATTTTGTCTTCTTAGGAATCTATATCTACCTGCAGATTTGCACAGCGAGTAGCACTTATAAAGAATGAAGCTATTCTTAATGAAGAAATTGACCCCAAATTGGTAAGCAGCTTATAATTGATAGCTTACTACATGTTTAAGATTCACTAAAATGTTCATGGCCCCTTATGTTGTACCAGTCAGTGCTCTGAAAGCTTGAATTGTATTAACTCACTTAATGTCTGTCATATCCTTGTGAGTAGGTGGTATCTCTATTTCCATTTTATAAATTATTAAACTAAGACATCAAAATATTGAGTCTCCTAGGGTCTCATTACTAATAAGTAGCAGAGCCAGGATCCAAACCCTGACAATCAAGCTCAAGATTCTGTGTTCTTGGGTATAATTCCCCGTTGCTTTACTATTAACATACACTGTGATTTCTGGGGCCTCATAACAAAATAGTATATACTTACACTTAATGTAGGTCTCAGCCATTCAGAAAACCCCAAATAACCATCTAGAGACTGTGTTTTAAGTAAGCTTACAGGGAGAGAGAGAAGTCCTTCTTAATAGTTAGTAAATAAAAGCATATTTTACACAGCTTTTCCATGACTTAATTTAGATATATTTTTTTAAAAAGATGATCAACTTGATCAAAGTATCAGTTGTCAACTTTATAGCTTACAATAATGAATATTATTTTACCAAAGCACAACAACAGTTTTAAAGTAAAAAATATTTACAAGTTACATATTTTAGCTACTCATTATAAATTGAGATTTCCCGCCCTCCTTCCTCTATGTGAAATGCAACACTATCAACTAATATGAATATTTAGAAGATGGAAAGAAAATATTTCCATTTTTAACTTTCTATCATTTAGATTATACTATTTTCAAATAAATCTACTATTAAAAAAATCTTTAGGAAATGAACCAAAATGAGTTTAATAATCTGGATTTCAAAAAGATGTAAAATATTGCCAGTAGTGCTTCCTTTATAAATATTTCATTGAACTATTTTATATTGGTTTGCGTACAAAATTTGCATACGTTTTGCTTATATACATTGTATTTCACACATTCCACCATTCACATTGTGCTTCATACAACCATTCCCATACAAAGGTTTTTGTTGTTGTTGTTGTTTTCCCCCATACACTGTGTTTCATAAAACTAATCACCACTGATTCATGGCCACCATTACCTTGCCTTTTCAGGTCCCCACTGTATCCTTCCTAATTCAGTATTATCCAGGTTTATTAATACATCATGATTGCCTTCCCTAAGTTCATTCCACTGAAGGACAAAGGAAAAAAGACAACAACAATAATGGAACAATCTGTTTTATCTTGATCACTCCAAGGAATCTCAAGCTTCTTTGGTGGAATTCTCTTCTGAAGAAACCATTAGGATGACCTGTTCTCTTTCCTGTAAAGGCCTTGGTCAAGTACCAACATCAAACAGCCCCAGCTGGTACAAAGGCAGGCAGAATTCAAAGGCATGTTTCAAGTGGAGCTGAACTTGTTGGATAAAGTCTTCTGTCTCTCTCCTGCTGACATCCTTGCAATATAACTGCACATGATGAGAAAGACAATCATAAGGTCACTGGCCTGAAAACAAAAATTAGTTCATAATTCAAAGATAGTAAATATATTACATATCAGAATGTTTGTTATTTTTTGTTTTTCTTGAAGTTTGGTTTGGGGAACCTTTCTTTGAGGGAACATGAAGAAAGGGGGACATTGTCATGTGTTTGACATAGCTCTGTGAGAGAATTAAAGAAAAGAGAAACCAGGAGTTGAAAGCTAATGGCTGATAATTAAACAAGTGCTGAGGTCTTCCAGGTACAAAGTAATGTAATAATTGATAAGTTGTTTCCCAGTTGCTTTTATAATTGCTTCTAAACACTGGCATTATTATTCAATATTTTGTATTTGGAGCTTATCTGAAGCACAAATGACAGTTGAAAATTAATACTCAATCACCCATAAAGACTCTACTTGGGTGGAGTTTGCTAGATTTTATTCCAGAAATTAATGGTTAAAGTGAAGGTAGGTTCGTACGATCTAGCACACCAAAAATTTGCCATGCTTTCTTTACAAGTATTGGTACCTCAAGTGAGTGAGATAATAAAAGAACTATGTACAGAGTCAGAGTCTGTGGTGACTAGAAAGGGCCAAAATTGTCTGAGGATGACTCCAGTTTCATAAAAAAATGCCTACAGTAATTTCAGGGGAGGTGTGGTTGTAATAATCTCAGAACCGTGAAAACTTGGATTAATTTTGAGATTCCAATTCAATAAGAAAGAAAAATAATTATTATATTTCACCTTGAAAGCTTTGCTAAAAAGAGAACATATGGAACTATGATCCAGGAGAAACGTGGGAAGTCTCCTTACATATGAATTGTAGCCACTGAAACCCTGCTGGAGGGTCAGCTATGAGTCAGTGCTGACTCAATGGCAATGACACAATGAAAGAGATTAATCCAGTATACTTGAATGTTTTTGTGAGTGTTAAGTGCCATTAATGAAGTACCACTCATGTTGGTGATGGTGTTGTTAGTTGCCATAAAGCCAAATACGATGTATAGTGACCTCATGAATAAAAGATCTGAATGAACCCTGTTCTGTCCTGCACCTTCCTCACACTTCCTGACACACAGGAGCCCATTGCAGCAGTCACCGTGTCAATATACCTGGTTCAGGGTCTTCCTCTCCTTCACTGACCCTCAATCTTTCCAAACATCCTGTCCTTCTCCAAGGAATGTTGTTGTTGTTGTTATGTGCCATCGAGTCACTTACAACTCAAAGCGACCCTATGTACAACAGCCCTAAACTCTGCCCTTTCCTGTGCCAATCGCACTGCCTCTGATACACCCATCCCAATTACCACACTCTCTTAATCAATACACCTCATAGAAGGTCTTCCGCTCCTGCACTGTCCCTCCACCCTCCCAAGCATGTTGTCCCTCTCCAAAGATGGGTCCCTCCTTACAACATGTCCAAAGTATGTCAGAGGAATCCTTACCTCAAAGGAGCAGCCCAGTTTAACCCTCTCCAGGATGAATCTGTTTGTTTTACTAACAGTCCATGGTACACTCAATACTCTTCTCCAACACAACTCAAAAGAATCAATTCTCCTTCTATCTTCCCAAGTCATTGTCCAACACTGACACCTAACAAGTGATTGCAAAGACCATGGCCTGTATCAGACTCATCTCAGTCTCCAGAGAGACACCATTGCTCTTCAGTACTTTGGAGAGGTCCCTAACAGCAGACTTTCCCATCTCAAAACATCTTTTAATTTCTTGGCTACTGGTGCCAAGAGTGTTGACTGTGGAGCCAAGCAAACTAAAGCTGTGAAAAATCTCTATTTCTTCATCATCCATCCTGATGCTGCCAGTTGGTCAAGTGGTGAGAATCTTTGTTTTCTTGATGTTGAGACTCAAATATTTAAGGGTGTAGTCCTTGACCTTCTGCAGTGAGTGCTTCAGGCCCTCCACAGTTTTAGCAAGCAGGGTTGTGTCATCTGCATAATGCAGATTGCTGATAAATCTTCCACCAATCCTGATGCTACATTTTTCCTCATAGAGCCCAGCCTCCTGGATAATCTGTTCTGCATACAGGTTGAAAATGTATGGAGGCAGGACATATCCCTGGCATACGCCCTTCCCAGTTTTGAACCATGCCGTGTTTCCTTGCTCTGTTCTGACGACTGCCTCTTGGTCCAAGTATAGGTTTCCCATTAGCACGATCAAGTGTTCTGGGATTCCCATTCTTCTCAGAGTCAGCCACAGTTTGTTATGATCCATGCAGTTAAACGCCTTTGCATAATCAATAAAACACAGATAGACCTTTCGCTGGTATTCCCTGCTTTCAGCTAAGATCCATCTAACATCAGCTACAATATCCCTAGTACCACGACCCCTTCTAAGCCCAACCTGGACTTCTGGCAGTTCTCTGCTAATGTGCTGTTCCAGTTGTTTTTGGATAATCTTCAGTAGACTGTTGCTTACATGTGAAATCAATGATATTGTTCTATAGTTTCCACACTCTGTTGGGTCACCCTTCTTTGGAATGAGAACAAATACAGATCTCTTCCAGTCAATTGGCCAACTGGTTGTTTTCCAGAGTTCATGGCACAACTTGGTGAGCACATGCAGGGCTGCGTCTGTTAGCTGAACCATGTCAATTGGTATATCATCTATACCTGGGGCCTTATTTTTTGCTATTTCCTTCAAAGCAGCTTCAACTTCTTCCTTCATCACCATAGGCTCTTGCTCATATGTTGTTTCAATGAATTCTTCTGTGTCTGCGGATTCCTTCGATGCAGTGACTCAGTATATTCTTTCCATCTTCTTTTAATACTTCCTGGATTATTTAATATTCTGCCTAAAGCATCCTTGATTATAGCAACTCAAGGTTTGAATTTGTTCTTCAGTTCCTTGAGCTTAAGAAATGCTGAATGAGTTCAGCCCTTTTGATTTTCTAACTCTAGCTCCTTGTACATTTCATTGTAATATTTTACTTTGTCATCTCGCACTCCTTTTGAAATCTTCTATTCATCTCTTTAATATCTTTAATTGTTCCTTCTGCTTTGGCTTCTCTGTGCTCCAGTGCAATAGTCAGAGTTTCTTCTGACATCCATTTTGGCCTTTTATTCTTCCTCTCTCTTTGTAATGACTGTTTGCACTCTTGATATCCTCCCACTCATCTGGTTTTCTTTGCTCATTAGTGTTCAAGGCCTCAAACCTGTTCGTGAGATGGTTCTGAAATTCATGTGGGATAGACTCAAAAGGTCATATTTTGGTTCCCGTGTATCCTGTTTAATTTTCCTCAGCTTCAGCTTGAACTTGCATATGAGTAGTTGGTAGTCTGTTCCACATTCAGCTCCTGGCCTAGTTTTCACAGCTGATATTGTGCTTCTCCAGCAGTTCTTTCTGCAGATGTAATCAATCTGATTCCTATGCATACCTTCAGGTGAAATATATTTGTATAACCAAGGGCTGGACAGTGGGAGATAGATGTTTAAGGGAGTGGGTAGAAGTTGATGGGTATCCTGGTATATATGGTGGAGCAGGGAATTAAGTGGGTCAAGATACTTGTGCCAAAGGCAG